ATTGCACAACTCCCAAGGTATGCTCCATGGACACTGTGGATCACCACCGACCAAGTGGAAACCCCACCGACCATGTCCGGATGGGCATCGACCATTTGTTGAACTCTCGGCCGTCAATATTTGGTCGGTCGGCAGTATAGATGGCCGGCCGACCAAAGCTTCCTACAGAAACCTGTTTTGACACCAGCAGAGGGCAAAATAAGGCATGACAATGCATTTCAACCAAATGTGTGCACCAACACATCCCTTATCATGTTTGTGACTTAAAGGGACATGTTTCTCGATTCTCGGACCACCAATCGCGTATTTCAATGCGTGATGGCCCAAGAAACCAAGTATGCACTTTGATTTCAAATGAGATGCACATCAAACAAACAAGTGAGGCTCAACCTCTATCATACTCAATTCAAGAGGCAAAGGATGCATGCTAATGCAATGCAACCTAGGCATGTTAACTAAGTATGCAACATGGGCATGCAATGCACAATGCATACTAGGCATACAACCTATGCAAGCAAGCATGCAAGGCATGAGGCAATGCAAACCAACAAATGTGCAAGATGCAATGTGGATGTTCAAGCATGCAACAACACATGGAGCAAACATGTTAAACAACCTAAACATGTAACAACACACAAGGTGAGCATGCAACAACATGCGAATAATGGACTTAAACTAATTTGGGCAGCTCTATACGAAGCCCAAAACAGTGGCCAATTGCTAAGAGAAAGAGGATCAAATAACATGCAAGCATGCATGCACACAAGGACCAACACTTAGGCATTGAAGAGCAACTCTCAAGCACACTTAAGAGGATGAAAACATGGACAAATGGCATGCATTATAAGCTCTGAAAATCAAGTCATGAAAGGTGCCAAACCAACTAGACAAGACAAACAAGGCATGCAAGCAAAGCCAAAATTCAAGGCGAGCCAAAGGTGTATTGAACTACACTTAGCAAAATCAAACATGACATGAATTAAGAAACCAAAATCAGAGTTTTAGCATATTAAGACAAAGCCAATAACACATCTAGATGGCATCTGAATGGCTTAAACATGCAAGCATGCACAAGGGCCTAAACAAAGGGCATAAGACAACAACCTTTTAACACATTAAAGGGGCATCAAATGCAAGCATGCAAGCATGTCATGAGGACTAAAATCACATGTTAAATGGTTCCAAACCACTGAAACAAAGCAAGTGAAGCATGCTCCACACTCACATACCCAAGGCTAACAAGCCAAAATGCAAGGTGGCTATACTAACCATGTCATGGTCGACCAAAACAACCAAAAATAGAACTTAAGCATGCAAAAATAAGCACAAAATCTTCACAAAGCTAGGCCAAAACAAGTAAGCATAATAGGCTAAATGCTAGGCACATGTTAAGGCAAATCATGGCATTACAGGACATGTATGTAAGGCAAGCATGGTCTGTCTAAACCAACATAAAACAGTGCTATAGCATGGCAAAATAACACTAAATAGCAGCTAAGATATGGCCAACATGAACCTAAATAAGATGCTCACTCAAGAGGCTAAAATGGCCCTTTTCAAGGACAACAAGGAGAGGGGGTGGCCCTCTCCTTCTTAGGACCTCAAGGCACCATCCTCACCACTAAAATCCCTCAAGATTTTAGTGGTGAGGAGGCCCAAACAAGGTGGTCCCAGAGCTCAACCGAAATGGCACAAAATGGGGCCAAACAAGCCCTAAGAGGGGTCAAACAACCCCAAAGACCAAAACACTCTAAACAACTATTTAGAGCAGGCAAAAACAAGACTTTTATATGTTATACACAAAGTCTAAAAACAGTTGCAAGATAGGTGAAAAAGCTATACAAAAATGGGGAAAAAAGGGTAAGATTGTTACCCTTGTAGACCCTCTTCAAAAATGGAAGACCAGCAGCTTCCTTAGGTTCAAACCAGTCCAAAACCTCCAAGAACAAGCCCCTTATGCCTCAGCAACTAAGGTATGGTGTAATGGTAGGTGTTTGTGTGAAAAACTAAGACTAAACACACACAACACTCAAGAGAGGGAGAGATATGGAAGTAGAGTATGAACAAACCCTAACCCTAAAACTCAAAGCTCTGAAAAATTTTGTAACCCTAATGGAGGGAGAAGAGGCTCCCTCTTATAGACAATCCCTCTTGTAAAGCTTTCCAAACAAGCTAGTCAAGAGGGAGATCCCTCCATACAAGTGTATGGAGGGGAGAAAAGTGTATGCCAGCTAGCACAGCTGGCATAAAAATATCTGCAAAAGCAGATGAACAGTGGTCGGCCAGCCAAAAATGCAATTTGACCAAAATAGATGGCCGGTTGACCATCTAGAGTGCCGGTCGGCCAAACATTTGGCCGATGGCAACAAAACACAGCCGGTGGCTTCAAGCCATGGTCGGTGGAGTGTGTGGATGGCCAATAAGCCATTCCCTGCCCTCTAAAGCAAAACACAAGTGTTTGGTGCAAAACCAAACACAAAACAGTCGAGTTGAGAGATCCCGAGGCAAGGCGCGTGGCCGAGACCTCCAGGAACTCAAGACGAACACAAACATGGATGATCACCGAGTGTTCAAACAGTGACGTCCAAGTCTTGAGGACGGTCAAAAATAGGGTGTCTACACTCCGGCAGTATTTCGACACGGTGCGGGCAGCCGAGGTAATCCAGAACTTTCAATTCTTCATGCTCTCAGCTTTGATTCATCTTGCATATTTATGACATCTAATCAGTTTATGCACTTGCTATTCGCAGATCACTGGGCAGCCTTGGCTAGCGATGCCCGGGTATTCTCGGTTCCAGTTCGCCGGGGCATGGGCCGCCTCTCGATACAGGGTTTTGTTTGAGGGACCAGTCGGCAGAGCCTAGTTTCTCGGGGATCGCTTCATGCGCCAGACGACGGGCAATCCCGCTCAGGAGATCCCCTCAACACCTCCACTGGACATGCGGTCCACAGAGAGCCTCACTCCCCGGGAGGTTGACGACCTTATGCTGTGTGTCGACGCAGTTCTTTTCCTGGAGGAGGGGGAGTACGCGACATACCGCCATACATACTTGATGCCTCCACTGGTAGGTATCCGTACTCCTACGAGGAGGGCTGCTGATATGCCGTCGTCGAGTCGCGCTCGAGCTGCAGACATCCCTTCCACTAGCAGGGCTAGCACATCGAGGAGTAGGGCCAGAGGGATGCCCTCGACTTGCCAGTATGCTGGGTGGCCAGATCTTCCGACCGAGCTGACGGGCTGGCAATGTGGGACATCTTACCCGATTCCACTGGAGCCTCCATTGCCCGATCATCGATACGTTAGTGACCCTGACTCACCACCAGTATGCTCCATAGTTTTCATTTATCACTCAGATATTTAGACATTCATTCATTCACTAATGACTTGAACTTGCATCTGCAGCCTCCCAGAGAGTATACTGAGGGGTTGCTCAGAGTGGTGGCCTCACTCGAGAGCATGGTCCTGAGGAGGAGACGCTGCTATACGCCTCCAGCATTCCGGTACTTTTCAATTTCCTTGCATTTATCATACTTCTGATGACATAAGGAAACTAAACATTTCACTGCATTGATTCATTGCATGTGTAGAGCACATCTGACACATCACATTCACATACTATATCTGCATGCACCCACTCTATGTATCATTCTTGCATCTGCATCTGATATACATACTGGCTGATGCATTCAAACTGTCCTTTTCAGGTCACACCTCTGCAGACTGGGCCATCCAGGCCTTCTCGAGCAGCTGGGAGAGGGGTCTCGAGTCGCGGCCGGGGGAGGCGTAGAGCACCTACCAGACAGGATGATGAGTCCAGCGAGGAAGAGGAGTCTGCGCATCCTCAGTCAGAGACATCTGCAGGCAGAGACGATGACTCCGGTTCTGGTTCTGAGGGTGGAGGTGACGCCGAGGAGGACTCCGAGGAGGGCGACTCCGATTCAGATGGTGGCGCCGACGGCGGTGGTGCAAGGGCTGCTCAGCCGAAGAGGGTGAAGAGGGCCTCTCGGTCTTGAGCTTGATAGCACTGATGCAGATGTTCCTGCTTTATTTTTCATTTTACATGTAGTCGTAGCACATTGTACAGCGTTAGGCAGTTTTATTTTCCTAAAAACTTGTATCCTTTTGTAAAAGGTTGTAAAAGAAGCTATGATGAAATGAAAACAGCTTTTTGTTCGAAAAATGTTGCATTTGTATTCTTAGCATCGCATTGCATCATTTTGCACAAAAATGAGGTTGAATGGAAATTGAACATTCATGTATTGCCAAGTCAGGTAGTGAACCAACATAACAAACTAAACAACTTAACTCACTAAGAAACAACAAAACCTTAGCAAGTTTACAACTCAATAAGTAAAGAGCAACAACTCGATAAGCAAATCGCAACAACTCGATAATCAAAGAGCAACAACTCGATAAGCAAAACTTAACAACTCAAAAAGCAAATGCTTTTTGAGACAAACAAAATGACAAAATGCATCCAAAACAGAGGTAAACTCGGACCTTCAGCACTCTCAACACACAGGAAAACTAGGGACTTTCTTCCGGAGACAAAGGGGTGGCTGCAGACCACTTTCTGCTCATGGCTGACCAGTAAAGAGGGCTGCCGACCAGTTTTTTGGTCTGTACACCAGAAAATGTGGTTGGCCGACCAGTTTTTCTGGGGACCTCCAGATTCTTGCCACATGTCCTCCAAATAGTGCCTTATCCTCCATAAAGGTTCCAGCTTCGTGGTTCCCTCATTCTAACTCAATTTCGCACCAAAATGGAGGCATTTCTTATCGAAAATGTCACGCCCCAAACTCGCCCCTAAAAGTTCGGGCATGACCTATGCAGATACGGACACATGACCTGATATACATAATATACGGGGCCTGAACGGAAGCATTTAATATTACAAAGTAACATAGAATAACATCCATTGAGCTAAAACTAACATGCCAGGATTACATACGTGAGAGCCATTTATCTATATACATACCCATACATATAAATGAGCGTATATCCGAACATTGGTAAAGAAAGGGGGTATATACATACATTTTAACCTTAAGTAAATAATTAAAGTGCATGACAAAATCTTAACAAAACTTCACATAAATGCATGGGCTTGGTCTGGGAGTCTAGGCATACTGAGGTTGACAATTGAAGGGTAAGCATCAAGGGTTAAGACGGACTCCCAAAGTAATTACCTACAGAACAGACAAAACACAAAGTGAGCGAAGCTCAGTGAATAATAGTATATAAATGATTCAATATTCAACTTAATCATAATGCATATCAATGCGTATGTAAATGCGGAGATCATATAATTAATCTGATTCTATACTAATTTTAGAATGGCCTTAGGCCCAATCTTGAAGCATAATGGCTTTAAGCCTTTGAATGGATTGGTGATAGCCCTTGAACATATTAACATTAAGCTTTTACACATGTTGGCATATAGCCCTTGAACATTTGGCATGAAGCCCTTAAACATGTTGGCATATAGCCCTTGTACATTTGGCATGAAGCCCTTGAAAAGTTGGCATTAAGCCCTTGAACATATGTATGGACTCAAGAGGTGGCTCGTACAGATTCTAGAGGTGACTCGCATTGCAGCACTTAGTTCCATACAGCACTTTGTTCCATACCAGAAATCATTAGGTCCTAAAGACCGATCAATTCATATCATGTTATAACATAGCATAAACGGAACGGATAAATAGAAACATATTCATACATATTCTTACTTATGCTTGAATCAGAAACAGAAATCAGAGTTCATGCTTGATCATAACCCACCCGTACAAGACCGTCGATGGTAAAACATAATCCACCCCGTACAAGACCGTTGGTGGTACCATCCGTACGAGACCGTCGATGCAAGAGATATCTTGTAACATACTTGAACCACGGTATTATACTCCCGGGCAAGGGCCATAAGACCACGGTATTATACCCCCGGGTAAGGGCCATAAGACCACGGTATTATTACCCCGGGTAAGGGCCTTGTGCTAAGGATGCCATGAATACTTTTACATATATGGATAATCATTCATTAATTCATAGAGTCACATATAATAAAATAGAGCATTTTCTTGGTATATCATGTCATTACCGTGCGCTTAAGAAAAATGAATAATTCACATTCTTATGTGGGTCACATAATGATGTTAGACTTTTGCGTTCATGTCATAGATTCTGAATAACTTCGAGTTCATATGTAACACAACAAAAATAACTTCAAATTCATATGGATTCACATAACTTTCCAATTATTCTGATTCTTCGAAGATGAACACAAATTCTCTTTATTCATTAAGAAATGACATGGTTCACTTGAGCTGTTAATCAGTAACATACCCCTTTCTTTAATCGTTCATATATGTTAACATGGTTGACCTGCAATTAACAGAGTGCTAATGGTACCATTGCATCATTCACATGAGTTAATGCAGTTAACTTAAGTTTAACAGAACGTTCTTGATAATTATTAACGAAAGGTAAACACATTTTACCGATTGAATGATTCTAGAGAATACCGGAATACCCATAGTTCCATAATCCTCATATGTTCTATTTGTTCGTCATGAATCACTATAGCTATCTTGCAAATAACAAAAATTTAGTATTCAATTGTCAATAGTAAACGAATGGACTGCTCAATAATGCCTCTAGATTTTCCAATCAACATATTGTTAACTTAATTACTTGCAAGGGATAGAATGTTAACAATGAGAATCATTAAACATACTTGAACGTGCGACTATAGTACTACTACTCACAGCGGTAGGTCTCTGATAGCGGTGGAACGATGTCCTCGTCTTGACCTACAAACACAATGCATAAACAGATTATGAGAATAAAACCAATCTCTTTTTATTCTTCACTCAATAGCTATGGTGGTTCTAGACTCATTAGTCCTCCATAGGTTATAATCATTCCTCATAAGATAGGAGGAATCGATAGGAGAAAGGTTCAGACGAAGAAACGGTACAAAACCGGTAAACAGAAGTGACAGTCGTCACTAATTTGGACATAACTATTTTTTTATTTAGAATTTGGAAGTTGAGCGACCACCACAATTGGAAACTAGACTTCCGGGGCTTGATTTTAGGCTCAAGAATCACTCAAACGGAGTCCGGATGCAAAAGATATGCTTGTTCAAAGTTGGCTGGACAGAGCTGGTCCCCGCACGTGCGGGAAAACAGTGCTGCACGTGCGGCCCTGGACAGTTTGCAGTCCGAAAATGGCAAGAAAATTTGGGACTTCTCATTTTCAAAATCAAACCTTAATTACATGTAAATCAAGCCCAAAACCTTAATACATGACCAATTCACATTATTATTCTCCATCAAACATCATAACCTCAAAATAAACAAATATAATGACTTTAATTCTTCAATTAACCAACTCTTAGGAATCAAGGTTTCAATTCATGAAAAGAGTTCATCTAAACTTATATCTATCAACCAAAACTCAATTAGGTGGTTTCTCTTCATTTGAGATCATGAATTTAAACTAGTAATAGATCAAATCTTAAGGGGTTAAGTTGATTTCACATACCTAGAGCCATCTCTTGAAGTAATTCCATCAATTTTCCCATCTTTCCTCTTCATGCTCAAGCTCTTCCTTCCTTCTTCTCCTTGATTCTCTAATCTCTCCCTCTCTCACGTGGCTCCCCCTTTCCTCTAGATATTTTTTTTTATTCTAAAGAAGATGGAGTCCATCCACTCATAAGGCACCCATAATATAAGTATAAACATACACACCAACATAACACAATGGAGAGAGCCAAACGTGGCCTTACGATTCGTACGAAATCAAATTTCAATTAAACTTCCCAGATAACTCTAAAAATTATGAGGATCATAAATATGTCCCCTGTTCTGGTTTCTGAAGCCTCTAATGCCTTCAATTTGCAGTATAAAGTTAACTACCCAAACGTGCATTAACGAATCAGACAAATTAGATTTCCAATTAATTTTCCCAAATAGTTCCAAAAATTCCCATTAACATATCCAAGTACTCAATTTTGATTTCTGTACCCATATAGGTCGGTAATTTCAATTTTAAATCCGTAACTCAATAGATAATGCTTCAATTCCAAAAGATATAATTAAATTAAAACACCTCATCTCATAGTTAAATACCAATGATTTTTTATATGCATTTTGGGGTCCTTACAGAAAATCTCACAAATTGGATTGCTACCTTGGATGGCTCAGAAAAGTTGAACTTTCGGGGCTTCGGCATAAATGCACTATTCACGTTGAGTCGCACCCCGGTGCATTTTCCGTTCCTTCATGCCGCGGCAAGGTTTTGGAATCCGATTACCCACGTTTTTAGCTTTGGCGGACAAGAAATATGTCCCACTTTCAAAGACTTCCAAGCTTTGAAGGAGTCTGAACGTGAGGAAGAGATTTTGCCGCAATTCTGCTTTGGCCACATCCAAGCCTTAGGGCAGATGTGCGGGCTCACTATGAATGACGCTCGGTCTTTGATCCACGATGGCGAGTTAGACATCCGCAGCTTGGTTTATCGGTTTTCTGATGCCGGTGTCCGCGGCGACCATCAATGGCAAGGTTTTCGGTGACATGCGCTTTGCTTGTGCATGCTGTCTCATTTCTTACTTGCCTCAGGCTCTAGAGGATCTAGCGTCCGTTTGATTGAGGTTGCCCAAGACTTAAAGGAGGGCAAGAGCTGCATTGCCATGACACTGGCTGAGACAATGGGTTTGGACACTTTCCATCACCGAGAGACGACTAGATTCCCGAGGAGTCCACTACTGCTACAGGTAATGTTTCCCACCCTATCTCACATATATTTTTCACATCAATCGGCCCTCAGGCTCGGTTTTTCTCTCAAAACCCTTTTCTCACTTTTCTCTCCACATACACCTCTCTATTCTTTAATCTCTCATTTTTCATCCCTCCCCAGATATGGTTGATGCATAAATTGAAGATTGTGGACTCATACCCAGCATATTCAACTCGCAACTATTTCTTCCAGCGACGTCTAGTCGATGCCCCTGATGAGGGATGGTGGTGCGAATGGATGTGCAATCTATCCGCAGTTAGCATTGCTTGGCGCTGCCCTTGGCTCAATCTACCGGTGATGAGTTACAGCATGTCTCGCCAGCCCGGGATTCAATTGATTGACCTGACACATTGTGTCTTTTACATTCCATTCCGATTCCGGCGCCAGTTTGGACATAATCAGACTTGCCCGGCAGAGGGGATAAAGTACCCTGCTGCATTTCCAGTTCGAGGCACACAGCTAGCCCGGTATGCCACAGCATGGAGAACGAGAGTGCTTCTGGCCCCCGCTCCCACCTTCAGTTGCACCCTCTCTGATGAATGCATAGCTTGGCTTGATGAAGAGGTGCAGGTTGGGCCTACTTTGGCATTAGAGGTTTCGACCAGCTCTGGGAGGGGACGCAGGAACACCTGATTATGCCCCGAATTTATTGTTTTATCAATACTTTCAAGTTTTCTTTATGAATGTAATAAAAAGCAACTTCAATTTGTATTCAAGAGTAGGAGAACTCTGTACTGAAATCAATGTAATTAAAGGTTGTGGGTACTAAAAATTTTCCGTTTGGTCCAAAACTGGTCTAAGTCGTAAAAAGATTAATTTGAGCAAAATCAACTTTTATTAAAACTTTTCAAAACCATTTTCGATATGGATCAAAGTTGGACACACCCGAGATCTATCACTGAGATGTACAACCCCAGATCCCATCAACTGGAAAGTTGCCCCTAGTCTGAATAGCACCGTACTGGAGATCACAACCGAGCTCTTGAATGCAGAATAGATAGAGATGACCAACAAGATCACAGAGACAAAGTTGATTTGGAAGTGTTTATGGCTGGACTTCAGAATGAAGTTGTCTACATATCCCAAAGATGGGAATCAAGCCTTACGTAGTTCGGTTCGAGTTCACTCGTGTATTAACGCTCTCCTTTTGTGCTCTAACTTTTGCCAAGGCCGCCCTTTCTAGGTTTTCAACCTTGTGAGCTCAATTTTTATTATTTCAAATTTTTCATGCTCTAACTTTTGCCTAGGTCGCCCTTTCGGGTTTTCGGCCTAGCGAGCCAATCAGGGATAGTATTTCTTCACCTTGTCCTTGTTGATCGGTTGGGAGAACTCTAGGCCATCTAGGTCCATCAAAATGACAGCTCCACCCGACCAGATAGACTTGATGATGTAAGGGCCAATCCAATTGGTTTTGAACTTGCCCCTAGGGTCGTGGATGGGAGCTCGGTTGTCTTTGAGCACAAGATCCCTTTCCTTCAAATTCCTGGACTTAACCTTCTTGTTGAAAGCCCTGGCAATTCTTCATTGATAACCCTGGACGTGATACAGTGCCTTCAGCCTTCTTTCGTCAAAGAGCATGAGTTCTTCGAACTTGCTTTGCTACCAATTTGCCTCAGCTATTTGACACTCAGCCAAAACCCGTAATGACGAAACCTCAACTTTGATAGGTAGAGCAGCCTCCATCCCATAAACCAAGGAATACGGAGTTGCCCCAGTAGAAGTTCGAATTGAAGTTCGGTAGCCCCACAGAGCGAATGGCAGCTTATCTGGCCAGTCCCAGTAGGTTTCCACCATCTTCTGCAGTATGTGCTTGATGTTTTTGTTGGCGGCCTCAACTGCTCTATTGGTTTGCGGCGGATATGTAGATGACTTATGAAAAGCCACGTTGTACTTCTCTAACAAGTCGATCACTTCCTTCTTGAAGTAGGAACCATTATCTGAAATAATCTCATTCGAGACCCCGTAGCAACAGATGATGTTGTTCCTGATGTAACATGCGAAGCCTTCAACACCGTGTAAGATTGGGCCTCAACCATTTCGTAAAGTAGTCTATTGTTACCAGAATGTACTCATGCCTGTTGGACCCCTTCGAAGTGACAACCCTAATTACATCAATCCCCCAGACTGAAAACGGCCATGGCGAAGTCATGTTGTATAGCTTAGACGGCGGAATGTTCATGCGGTTTGCATGGATCTGACATTTATGGCATCGCCGGACAAAGCCAATACAATCCTCCTCCATAGTGGACCAGTAATAACCTTGTCTAAGGATCATCCGAGCTAGCATCACCCCATTCATGTGCGCTCCGAACTCTCCTCCATGGATGGCCTCCATCAGGCGCTTGGATTCTTCAGCATCAACACACAGTTTATGCATCCCGAGATGACCTCTCTTGTACAGTTTACCCCCGTAGACGATGAACTGAGCAGCCATTCTTCGAATTGCCCTCTTATTCTTGGCATTTGCCCCTGGTGGATATGCCTCTTTTTTCAAGAAGTTCCAAACATCGAAATTCCAGGGATTCTCATCTTACACCTCATCTATGGCAACAATCAGCTCGTAGGCCGGCACAAATTTCTGTTCAATGATGATCAGACGCATCCGGACTCTGAAAGGGATGTCTATCATAGAAGATAGAGTTGCTAATGAATCTGCGAACCTGTTGTTCTCTCTTAACAGATGGGCGAAATTCAGTTTCTCAAATCGAGAAATCAAAACATCCAAGGTCTGGTGATAGATTCTCATTTTTTCTTCTTTAACTTTCCAATCTTCTTTAGCTTGAGATACAACAAGGTTCGAGTCCCAGATGACATCTAACCGTTTTGCCCCTAGTTTTGTAACGGCTTCTAATCCAGTGATACATGCCTCATATTCTGCCTCATTGTTCGATACTCTGAACCGAAGTTTGAATGCTAAGGGTATGTGGGAATTGTCGGGTGCTATCAGCAACACCCCTATCCCATACCAGTATTGGTTTGACGCTCTGTCAAAGTACATCGTCCAAGTCTCTTCTTCGACATGCAGAATGGCCTCGTCTGGGAACAAATTCTCAACTGCTTCATCCCCTTCAACTGAGTGATCGGCTAGGAACTCTGCTACTGCTCTCTCTTTCACTGACTTGCACGTCATGTACTTCAGATCAAATTCGGAAAGCAGAAGCAACCAATGGGCTAGCCTACCCGTAAGTGCTGGTTTCTCGAAAAGAGATATGACGGGATCTAATCTCGAAACCAGTATTACGGAGTGAGCTAACAGGTAGTGCCTCAGCTTCCTGGTAGCCCATACCAAGGCCAGACAAGCCTTCTCCAGCGGAGTGTAGCGGGTCTCATAATCCAACATTTTGTTGCTCAGGTAGTAGATAGCTTTCTTCACTTTGTCCTCAGACTCCTGCGCAAGCATGCAGCCCATTGTAGTTTCAGTCACTGAAAGATACAGAATCAACGGTTTCCCCGGCTCAGGTGGTGACAACACAGGTGGGTTTTGTAAATATTGCTTGATCTGTTCAAAAGCAGCTTGGCATCGACTATCCCATTGGAACTTCTTTCCTTTCTTCAGGAGACCAAAGAGTGGTTCACAAATTAAGGTTAATTTTACAATAAACCGTCATATGAATTGCACTTTACCTAGAAAGCCTCGCATCTCCTTTTCAGTCCTTGGTGGTGGCATTTCTAAGATGGCCTTGATTTCAGAAGGATCGGCCTCGATACCTCTATGTATGATCAAGAACCCCAGCATTTTCCCTACTGTAACACCAAATGTACATTTCTCA